CCGCTGCCCCGCCGCCGCGGCCGCCGACGCCGCGGCAGCCAGCGCCCCCGCGGCGCCGCCGCCGCCGCGCGCGGCAGCTGCCTGGCAGGCGTCGCAAATGGGGACGCTGCCAGCTTTTGGGGACGACCGTGCGCGGGGCACTGCCGCGGCGCGGCACGTGCTGCACAAAGGGACGCTGCCGGGCGCGCCGAGGTTGGCCGGCAGCAACGGGTCGGCCAGCGCCTGCTGCTGGTGCGGCTGCTGCTGCTGCTGCTGATAAAGCTGCCCCGCGTCAGGCGACCACCTCTGCTGCTGCTGCTGCTGCTGCTGCTGCTGCTGCTGCTGCTGCTGCTGGTCGTCCTGCCCACTCAGCACCAGCGCTGGCCCAGGCAGGGAGAGCGGCAGCACCTGCGCAGCCCCTTGCCCGGACGTCCGCCGGCGCCCGCCCGCTGCCGCGCCCGCCAGGAGTGCGCCAGCCGCCGTCGACGCCGGGGCGGCCGTCGACGCCGGGGCAGCCGCCGCCGCCGCTGCTGCTGCCGCGCCCGCCGACGCTTCATGCTCAGGGGAGCCGCCAGCCGACGCGGTGCGCCCGCCGCGGGCGTCGCCCTGCGGAGACGTGGCAGCGTGCGGGGCGGGTGGTGGGGCGCGGCCCCGGCCCGCGACGCAGCGAGCGGCCTGCGCTCCAAACAACGGCGCCCCGCGTTGCTGCGCCGCCTCCGCCCCCGCCCTCGCCGCCGCCGCCGCCGCAATAAGCCCAGCGCCGGGCTCCCGAGGCCATCCAGGCGGGCCGCCGCGGCCGGCGCCCACCTGACGGCGTGTGCTCCTCTTCCAGACGTACTGCCAGATGTTCTGCACCTCCTTCTTAGTCACCGGCTTCACCAGGTACTCCTCAGCTCCCCCCTTGATCGCCTCAAACACTGTGTCGTTCCCCTCGTTGGCGCTCATCACTGCAGGCGGGGGCGCGGGCGCGCAAGCATGCGCGGTCGTGATGACATTTTTGGGAGTGGCTCACGCGGCTGCGGGCGCTCGGGGCGGCGGCTTGGGCGGGCGTGTGCGGCGCAGAGGCCTCGGGTGCAGGCGGGTATGCCAGCTGCTGCTGCTGCTGCTGCTGCTGCTGCTGCTGCTGCTGCTGCTGCTGCTACTACTGCGCCCGCGGCAAGACACTCACTGATAACGGGAATCTCCGATAGCCGATGATTGGAGCGGACATAGCGCAGAAGTTCCAGGCCACAGACATCCGGCATCATCACGTCCTGTGCATGACATTACGTGTGATATAAGTCCGCATTCGGCGATACGCATGCCTGCTGGGGCGGAGGCCGCCCGGCGCGGACTGGCTCTGGGCGGCGCGGCCACAGAACGGCCACGGCGGGTGCGGCGGTGGTGGGCGCGCGGAGTGTTGGCCGCGGTCGCTGCCGAATGCTCGCGCACCGTGAGGATCAGCTGAAAAGTCCCTGGTTCCGCTCGCTGGAGCATTTCCAGGGCCTGGGCGCCGCTCTCCACCACCGTGACTGCGTCCAAAGGGATTGCAAAGTTAATTGTGGTCAGCTCGTGCCACGGAACAGCTTACCAGCGCCCATTTAAAGATGCTCACCTTTGTAGTTGCATTTCCGAAGTAGGTTGCCTGCGGGGCAGCGCGGGGCGGGATGAAGAAGGGTGTGGCGCCAGGCACTGCAGCAGCACTCGTTGCCGCTGCTACCACCGTCCCTGCCCTGTGCGGCACTCACCAACCACAAGTCTTGATAGCAACTCATCGTCCACGAGCAGGACTCTGATGTTGCACGGGTCGCAGGCCCCCTGTGCACCACCGAGCGAGCCCATGATGGCGAAATAACCTGGATCAACAGCAGGAGTCCACTATCCATCGAGCCATTGTGCATAAACTCATATGCCAAACACGCATCAAGAGTACAACACGGAACACAAGGCGCGAGTGCATGTGATGGCAAAACGGCATGGAGCGGGGCCGGTGCGGGCGTCCCAGCCACCCAGTAGCGGAGCCGCGAGGCACATGTCCGAGGCCCAGGCGCAGGCTCCAAGCGACGCTGCAAGCTCCCTGTTGCTTATTTGTTCAATACGGCTTCAAAGCATCGCCATGTGTATTCCGCAGAGGTCACAGCTGGCTTTGAGGCCCGCTACCCGCCGATATGGAGATCTTCCCAGTCAACCCCCGAGGTCAACGTCGCCGCCACAAATGCGATCTCGCGCCCTCGAGCCCCGCCTCCGGAAGCGGCCCTGAAACCTCCCTTGCATTAACTAAGCTCGGGCTGTGGTCTGCGCTTATGCGGGGCGCGCCTCGGGCGAGAAGCGTCCTTGGGCGGGTGGACCTGCTGGCTGCGGACCACCCCAACAAAATTGCAGCAAAACTGCGACGGCTACGCAGACTCTGGATATTTACTGGCCAGCCTCGCGACAATTCTGTGCTATCGAGGCTGACCATGGGTTGTGGTGGACCCGTGTTGCTTGTTGCGAAAGGATGCCGGCCGGCTCAGCCTGGTATGAGTCACTTATCTATCTATCTCAGCCGTGGGCCGCCCTACCCTACGAGGGTGGAAGAATCACAGCCTACCAGTCACCCAATCCAATTGTTACAAATGCCCAGCCTCGTGAAGACCTTATAAACTCCACACACATCCAACAACATCCACAGTTCCACACACAACCAAAAAGCACCTGAGATTCACCGCTTCCTTTGTACTGGTAAGAAAAGCGAGCTGCAACTTCACAAAACTGGCGCCGTCCAGCCGCATGAAGAAATTGTTTGCTGCGCCGTTGAAAATTGCTGTGCAGCGGTTCAATCGTTTGGACCTGAGCGCATGCATAAGCTGCAACAGGTCTGGTGGGGTGCGCGGCCGCGGCTCGTCCAGAGCACGAACTTCAAAATATTCGCGTGCGAATAATGATGAGCGCACGGCGAGCAGTTGGCGCGGCCGCCCTGCATGCATCGTGCGTGCGCTTTCTGCACGCGCGCGAGCCTCAGCCGCGTGGCACGTGGAACCTGCAAACGGTCATGGAAGGGGTTCAGGGTGGTGGCCGGGCTGCGCTCAGCGAACAGCACCGCGTCGGTCCAGGTCAGCATAGATCCGGCCCCCAGCCGTTTGCGCATCAAGCCAATGATGGCCAGCAGGGAAGCGTGGGCCAGGCGCGCTGCAGAAGGACAAATGACCGCGCGTAACAACCCAGGCCCTCACCCGTCGCGGCCACGGCCATGGATGTCCCCTTTCCAGCCCTGGGCGCCGGTGCTCGGCTGCAGGGGGCAAATCCAGCGCATGGACATGCGGGGGCAGTCAAAGGCCGCAGGGGGTGCGTGGAGGGGGTGGGGGAGCTTTGCTTGCCCCTTACACGCACGTGCTTCAATCCCTGTACTCCTGACTGGATTAGCAGGGCCGTCTGCCGCCAGGACGACAGGGGGGCCCCAAAATTCTCAACAGTCTCGCAGCCCTCTAGGTGCAGCCGGGCCCCCAGGACGCCGCCCGTAAACTCGCATCCCGTACCCCCGGCTTCCACGCGCAGGCTCCGAAGCTTTTCAAGCAAAGCCACAACAAGCCCAGCTCCCAGCTGCAACTCACGTTCTCGTCATCCTTGCTGGCGAAGTTCTTGTCCATCACACCCTTCACGGCACCCTCCACGTAGCCCACGGCCTAGTGTTTGGATTATGTGCGGGAGGTCAGCACGCGCGAGGCAGGCGCGCGAGCTGGCTCTGAGAGGTGCACCAAAATGCAGGCAGGCATGGACCTTCGATACGGGCTCAATGGCACCGTGCCACGTGGCACGCAAGTCGCTGGGGAGTGCCAGCAACCGACGCACGAGGGTGGCGGGGCAGCGAATCCGGGAAAGCAGGTGCGCGCCGGGAGCCCCACCCCACCTCGTTGCCCCTGCCCTCGGCCACATCACTCGCGGCATCTACAGCGTCTGTTGTGGCCTCCTTGGTGGCGGCGGCGGCGGCTGAGAACCCGTCCTTGAAGGGGCGGCCCTTGCCGTGGTGGTCAATGCGGCCGGTGAAGCCGCTGCCCGTGCCTGCCCAGTTGCCGTTGGGGGCCTGAGGGCGTGGGGTGGCGGCCGCGGGGTCAGGGAGCATTAGTTTGCAGAGATTGCAGGACCTTGAGGACAAATCTTGTTGGGCAGAGCAGCGCGACGTGGGTGAGAGGTCGCCAGCGTCAGATGGAGTGCCATGTCATCGCCATGGTGTGGAGTTTCCCAGCAGATCCGTCCCGGCCCGCGCACATCATCCTTCGGGGGACTGAAGATGCGCACGAAGCCCTTTGCAATGTCATCGAGCATGCCTGCCCTGACGTGCACGGCGCAACGCCGCGATGTCGGTGGACGCGGGCGCGCACAGGGCGCCTTGCAGAGGGCGTGGGAGCGCAGGGACAGCATGATGATCGAGGTGAGATGTGTGTGGGTCTGAATTCGTTCTTTCGAGGGCCCGTCAGCGGCTGGGTGGCTCGCCAAGGGGTGTTCCGGGGGTGAGGTTTCGGTGATCTGTTGCCGGGGTGATTTATGAGCGCTAGGTGGAGGTTGTATGATATGTTCAAGCAGTGTAAATTTGTATGCTATGGCGCGTGATGTTGTTGGCGCAATAAGTGGGCGCAGGTGTCGAGCTGGAACCTCGACCACCGACACGACTTCATTTGCCACTTTACTACCTGAACAAGCAAGCTCGCATAGTGTATATTTACAAGACGTAGGTGAGATCCAGGCTGTGGCAGCGACGCACGCCGCTGCAGCGCTGATGCACGGGTACCGGTAACACACTGGCAACCTGCCGGTAGCGGTGCACTACCACAGCCAACGCAGCATGGACAAAGAAAAGTCTAAAAAGAAAGGCTCCAATAGACGAAGCATGCGGCGCGCCACGAGGCGCAAGTGCATAGATGCCAGACGAACGGTTGACAACAAAAGATGGACGAGGGATGCAATGGATGTAGACTGTGTGGGGGGTGGCACAGCCAATCCAAATGAATGGTGATGATACAGCCATCAGCAGACATGCGCGGTCGTGAGAAAACAAGGGACTGGTGGAAAACCCCCCAGCCCATGCGCGCGCGCATACGGTTGGGGGTCTGGTGGAAAACGACAGGCCCCTCTCAGTCCCTGTGGTCGCAGAGCGCTCCGGGCAGCCGCGCGACGACCGCGCGACAGCCGCACCCACCCCTTATCCTACGCAGGGCGGGAACCAGGTGCCGTCGATCTGCATCCCATACTGTATGCTGCGCTGCACGTACGACTCAAAGGACCGCGCGCTCTCCTGCAGCTTGGCTGCAGCGTCCTTGTTCAAGGGGTCCTCAGGGTTGGGGTCCTGCGCAGTGGGGGCCGCAAGTGTTTGGGGCGGTGACCAGGCGTGGTGTGGGTGTTTGGGTGGGTAGGTGATTGGCATACGAGCAATTTCTGACACATGCATGAGCGCATGCACAGACAACCTCTGCTCCCGTCCCCCCTCTCCCTCTTCCTTTCTCACACACACATGCACACACACACTCTCACACACTCTCACGCACATGCTCTCCGTCCCTCCCCCCTTTCTTGGGTGTGAACACACACACACACACACACACACATAAACAGAAACACACACGCACGCGCGCGCATGCTCTGGCATGTGTTGGAGTAAAGCCATGCATTCACACACCCGCATGCACCCACCTTCCCATCCACGCGTGCACAGGCACAAACACACATGCACGCACACACACACACACACACACACACACACACACACACACACACACACACACAAGCACAAGCACACACACACACAAGCACAAGCACACACACATGCGCATACACGCATGCGCGCACACACGCCCCCACGCCTCACACGTGCGTGCTCAACGCGCCCACCAGGAACAGGAACTGCAACCCGTACACGACGCTGCTGATAGAAAGCACCGGCTTCCAGTCCTCCCGCAGAATGTTCAGGCAGATGTTGCCGTCCAGGTCGATGTTGGGGTGGTACACCTGGCCGCGACGCACGCGTGCAGGCGGCAGGAGACTGGTGAGAACGAAGAACGGCGTGAGAAGCAGCGCCCGCCTCCCAAGTTCACGGGCGACGGACGGCCGCGCAGTCAGCAACTGTCGGAGGTGTGCCGCGCTGCAACTGCTGAAGGCTCGCAAGCCACTACATGCGGCTGCCGCTCGCTTGCACCGTGGCTAATTGCACTCGCATCTTTGCGCTCATGGCGTGTGAGCAATGTCTGGCACGCTAGCTTGCGTGGCTGGAATGCGCCCGCGGCCACGAAGTCGCACCTTGGTCTTGCATTTGACCTTTGGTGCATCGTACGGGTAGCTAGGCGCAATGACAAAGTCAAACAGGAATTTCCCATTCCTGCAAGGCAGGTGCATGTTGACGTTTATGCTTGGTTGCCCCAAGAACGCAGGGATCCATACAGCATGCGCAGCGATGCGTGCTACGAGGCACCACGGTGCCGCACACGGCTGCGGCAACCTGCCTCACGCACCTGTACATGCCCTCGTCTGCCCTGATTGATATCTCAAAGTGCATTGGCTTCTCCTTGCCCTCAGGGAAGTTGATCTTGATGTTCCCAGGCAACTGCAGCTCCGTGAGGTCTACGTGGCGCGGAAGGGCAGCGTCAGACAGCGGATCGCTGCTGTATAGCAGAGCACATACAAACGCGCACCTTTTTGAAGGCGCAGCTCTCCCGCGGACTGCTTTGGCCTCCCAGAGGCCGCTGCCGCGGCCTCTTTCTTTTGCTTGTCCTGCGCATAGAACAATCAAGAGATTCACTTATAGACTGCAGCGCTGAGCACCAGCCGAGGCGCGCTCCAGGGCGGGGACGCGGGTGCCTGCCTTGACGCTGAAGAGCTTGATCATTTTGACTGCTCCTATCTAAACCCCGTGCCTCTTCCGCCTGTTCTGTCGTGCAACCAGGTTGCGCGGCGTGCTAACTGCGCTGATGTGGTGATCTCACAGTAGCGCGCTGCCTGAGAAAACCAGAAAGCGGTGCAAATTGTCGCGTTACCACCAATCACAGCAGCTAGACTGCCTCACAAAATGGCTGCATGCATGCGGGGTCAGCAACAGTCACCAGTGCTGCCCACGCAGCTGCCGCCGTCACCTGCACGACACTGGCACGCCGCCCTGCCTACTGTGGCCGCGGCACCGCTGCCATTGCATTTGGCTCGAACCCCGTCGCCATTGCTGCAACCTGCGATAGGCCCGCCAACAGGCCGCTGGCCGCACCAACCGCTGCACGCCGAATGCCGCGGCGCTCCCGATACACGGAGAAGGCGACCAGCGCCGCCGCTGCCGCACCGCCAGCAATCTGCCATGCGGGCACGTCCTCTAGGTGCAGCAACCTGAGTGTGTCCTGTAAGGTTGCAAGAGGCCGCACGAATGGATGCTTGGTCTGGGTGATAATGGGGTAATGTGACGCTTGGGGGGAGGGTTGGCGGGGGCGTGGGGGGTGTTGGTACATCAGGGTGCTTGTCATTTGGGGGGTGCATGTGGGGGCCTCCTGGATTCATGGGCGTCGAAGAGCTCCGCGCCAATGCATTGCATGCTAGAATTGGCGGCGTCCACATCTTGCGCAGCAACATGGATTGGCGGCATGCATGCTTGGAAGCTGTGCGCCCTGCTTGCACGCGCTGCAGTCCGCGACTGGATACTCCACTATACCAAGACCCGTTGGCCACCCCAGAGCATGGCACGTTTCAGAACTTCCGTAACACCGCCGCCCCCACCTGCACCACAGGCGCCGCTCGAAGCTGCCCGGCCCGCTCCACCGCCCACGCCCACGTGCGCGTGGCCACGCCCTGCTGCTGCTGCTGGCCCCCCTCGCCCTGGCCCTCACCGCCGCCCCGCCGGCCCCCAGGCCCAGCGCCTGCCGCATGCGCTGCAGCTGCGGCACTGCCAGCTGCAGGCAACGTTGGAGGAGTCGGCCAATCATCTTCTATCTCCTCAATCTCGCCAGTAACGGTAAAGAACTGCCCCGGCTGCCCCAAGCCCCCCTCGGCCCAGCCTGCCGCCGCCGCTGCCACGCCGCCACTGTTGCCGTTTGACGGCTCTGTCAATCCGCCGCTCGGTCCTGCCTGCTGCTGCTGCTCCCGCTGCTGCTGCTCTCGCTGTTCTGAACAGCCGTGAGCAGCCGCCTCCGTATCTTCCAACTCCGTAAGCAGGAGCTAAGGGCGGGCAATGGAGCGCATGCGGACGCAGCACAGAGGGGTCATGAAGCAAGTGGCTTCGCTGCGCTAAAAAACATCAGTTGATGGCCCTGTAAGCGCTGCAACATCCTGTACTCAAGCGCAAGGGTGGCATATGCGATCGGCAGGCATCCCCAGCAAACGCCGCACACCTGGCGCTGCCCGTCCGACAGCCCCGCCCCGCCGGCCAGCAGCCACGCGCGCGCCCCGGCGGCGTCGCCGCACGCGCCGCGCAGCACGCGGACCGCGTACAGCCGCGACAGGGCCAGGTGGTCTTCGCTCGGCAAGGGGGCGCCTGGCGGAGCATAGAAGTGGCGCATGGCACTGGTATTACACACGGACGCGTCACGTGGTGGGTGGCCGCGACGGCGCGGGACACACCGCTCGTCAAATGATGTTGTGAAAGTGGTTGAGTGTGCACTGAGCGATGACGGTGCCGTTCAGACAGGGGCGGCGCGAACGAGCGAGCCCCTCCCTGCAGTGTGGCCCCAATCTGCCCCTCTTCGCTCCTGCTGCCCCACACCTGCAGCCTCGCTGAGGCGGGCGGTATACGACCCCAGCACGGCGCGCGCCGCTGCACCAGCCTCCATCTCGAGCGCGATGACACCCCTGTTAGAGATGGAGGCAGAGTGGGGGGGGTCTGGGTAACAGCGAACCCTGGCCACAAAAATGTGGCAAAGCAGCAGACTGGCGGGGGCACGCGAGCGAGCGCGCTGCCCTATCAAGGCGGGCTGCACGCAAGCCAAACGCCAGCAGCTGCACGCCAATGAAAGTTCCTGATTGAATGGAGGCTGGTGCAGCGGCGCCTGGAGCCAAGCAGGCCGCGTGGGAGGGTTGCGGGCTGCGTGCGAGGCGCTCCGTCGCGGCGGCTCGCTGCATCGGCCAGCCGTACACATGCGCCCCGCCGCACCCACCAGAGCAGAATCACTGTCACTGGCAGGCTCTGCAGGTCTCGGCCATAGAACTGGGATGCCTCTTTCAAGTCAGTCAGCCTGGAAAAGGTTCGTAGCCAAAACGTGCAGTGACGAGACTGGTCGGCAATTGCAGGCAACTGACTCGGAGACGGGGCAAAGCGCCGAGTGCCATGCGGGCGCATGCACATACCCCGCTGCATGTGATAAACCACTCGCGGCGCCGCATCACGCACCTGCCAGCATGGAAGTCGACTTGCAGCAGGACATAAAAAGCACGTGTCACGTCCGCCAGCGCAGCGCCTTGCTGCGCTAGCACTTCACTGGCGCGGCTGCGCGCCTGCAGCCACTTCCCGGCGTGGAGCGCCTCCTCTGCCATGTCCACTGTCCGAGCTGCCTCCGGCACTGCGCTGGGCAACGCCGCGGCAGCTGCTGCTGCCGCTGTCGCCATCGCCGCGTTTGCTGGGCCACTGCTGTGCGCCGCCCGGTGTTGGTGGTGTGTGCCGGATGCCCGTGGAGGTGGCACGTATCCAATCTCTGGCTTTGTGCGAGCGTATAGCGCACGTTCCGGGAGGGCGCTCCGCAGGGCTTTGAGGCCGTGCTCTGACGTGTTACGAGATCGTCCGAATGCGGTGCAGTGGAAGCACGTATAGACGAGCAGAGATACCAAACGAGACAGAAACTCGTCAGCGGCGCCCACCCCGAGCTCTTGGGTCACGGCGTCACTGCTACTGTAGTGACTGCAACAGCCGAACTGGCCAGGGTCTGTCAGTGCGTTGCGGGCCATCACGGTGGTGTGCTTGATCCTGCGCTGGGGCTCACAATCGCGCGTGCGTTACAACACGCTTTACGCGCATACTTGCAGTTCCTGACTGCCATGAGGCCCTGGCCCCCAGCACAATCATCAGCATAGAAGCAGACGCGCACGACGCTTCACCGGTAGGCGCCCGCAAATTGTTCCGGCACGGACAGGCGCCGTGCAACATTCGACTTTGTGATGTGAGGTAACGCACGCATGTACAAAATTTTCTGGTGACGATTTACGCGTGCTCCACATCTGTGCAGTTCTGCGGCTTCCAACGTCGGACAGTGCGGTTTGATAGAACATCGCACCCAGCAGGGCAGGGGGCCTCCTGTTAAGGCTCGCAACCAAGCGCTCCCCCAGCCCCGCCGTCACTCCATGCCCAACCCACGTCCACTCCCGCTCGCGGGCAACGGGCTGCCACACGCCCGTCATGCGCGCGCCTGCTGAGTCACCCGTCCACGGGCCGCCTTGCAGTCTGTCTTGTGGGCCGGCCAGTCCAGCCGCTGGCACTCCACCTGTGGCGGTCAGGCGTGCGACACCGACACAGAGGCTCAAACCGCAGCCCATACATATGGTTCAGGCAGCATTTTTAAAATGTCAGTCCTACGACACGGGTCCCATGGTGATGAGACGATGCAGTGAGCCATCCTGCCCTCCAGCCCCGCTGTCACGCGCAGTGCCCAATCTTTGATTTCAAAGAAAGCCTCCAATCATAGCGCTATACTAGTCGCAGACAGTGAGCTCACCGAGCAGTACTTTGCCATCCCACCACAACCTGTGCACGAGCGCAGCTGCACGCCGTCGCCCTTGACCTTGCCGCAGGACGAGCACCCCAGCTGCGGCTGCAGATGCTCCTGCTGCTGCTGCTGCCGCCGCTGCTGCTCCTGCGTGTGCACAGGGGGGTGCGTGCAAGAACTGGCAATGACAACTTTTCCTGGTCACTGCTGGCATCAGTTGAGGTTGTGCAATCATTCCATCACTTGAGCACGCCAAGGGGGAGGGGGGTGGGATGATTTTGGTCCACCAACATCAGTGAAAGCCAAGCCCTGCCCACCTGATTGTTGCTGCTGGTGCTGCCTCCGCGGGGCTGTTGGGCCGCCCTGACGCTGCAGGGGTCCACCGGCGCCGCGCCATCCGGCTGCAGCACCTTGCGCCGCAGGGCCTCCTGGGTGGCGCCGGCCTCCTCCCTGTTGCAGGCAGGTGGTGTACACCACGCGCATCGTGCAGTTATGGGGGACTTTGAACATACAAGCCAGGAAGCCATGCCAGGAAGGGCTGCTGTTGCCAAGTGCTGCATTACAGTGCAAGGAGGTCTTAGATATCCAGGACCGCCAGACACGAGCGCGAAACGCATGCGAGAGCAGACAGGGCTCAAATGAACCATGGGCTGTGCCTGCCCGGCGGGGGCATTTCAGGAGGTTACGGCTTGCCCTGCCATTGTATGGATGGTGGTCAACTGGTTTCGGAGTATCAGAAACTTGCCAAGACTTGACGGATGGAAATCCCACCTTTCGCGATCGACCACCTCAACAATAGCAGGGTGGCTGGAAACGTAGTCATCCACCGCCTTCAGCATGACGCCGGTCAGTGATGGGTGGAAGCTGCCCGCTTCCACCTGGGTGACGCCGGCCGGTGCCGGCCCTGCCAATGCATTGTGGATGCATGGGCCAGTGTGGGACAGCTGACGCGCCAAGGTGTGGCAAACACTCGGAAAATGCAGCCGATGAATGCGGCGGCCCACGTGAAGACAAGGGGTCCTGCAGATTGTCACGCCAGCAGTGCGCTTGATGAGGTCATGCTGACATCACCCACCTTCCCGCAGAAGGTCCTGGGGCAGGGGGTTGCCGACCCATGCCCAGCTGCGGACCCACTTTGGATCCATGCCTGTAGGGGGGTGAAAGCACATCTGCAGTTGAGACGTGAAGCCTCGCCTCGCATGTTGTGTGCCAGGACCGATGTTGTTTCACACCTTGGGGCCTGCCCCCAGCTGCCCACGCTCGGCTGTGAAGCAGCAGATGTGCTTAGAACCGCCTGCTAGTGCGCATGCCCTTATTGGCAAGCCGTATCGCAAGGCGGGAGGCCTTGGGGCTGACACCTGGCAGCCGACGCACTCCGCACGGTCAGGGGCGGCATCAGACTCCCCACAGCGCAGCCTGACACTGCACGCAAGACCCAAGCCAGGCCGTGTGCATACAGACGCCAACGCGCAAGCGCAACGCGGCCTCGCAAGTTTGGGGGCCTCGTTGCTCCCGAAAACCATCCCCCAGGACCCAGGACGAGGGTGCTGCAGGAGTCGTGCGCACGACCAACATCACGCGCCGTGCTCGCACTAGCGAGGCAGGAGGCACACCCCGCCATGCGCACCCAGGTACGTGGCCAGGCAGAAGAGTTCGTGCGCGCGGTGGGCGGCCACGTGGTTGCACGAGCCGGTGGCCTCGATGACAATGAACCGCTTCGTAGTCATGTCTGGGCAGGGCAGGCGCGGTGTGATTCATTTCGTTGGACCAAGGACGCGCATGGTGACCGCTTCCAGTGTGACCAGCTGGCGCTGCAAAGCTGCAAAGGGATGGTGCGACAGGTGCGCGCATGGGCGCGTGCATCCACGAGCCGACGGCTGTGGGGCCAAGGGGGGTAATGCTGCCCTGCAAGCGGGCGGCCCGGCCGGCGTCTACACGTGACGCTGATAAGCTGCTGAGCCTCTGAGTGCGCCCCCACGCGCGGGAGGCCCGAGGCAAGCGTTGCTCGTGCAGAGCTGCCTTTGCAGATGAATGCACCTGAGAAGACGAGGTTCCCTGACGGGAGGTCTTCCGATCGCTCCCCCACCTGCCAGCGAGGCATCGCACCGCAGGGGTTGCACGGCTGGATGTCAGAGAGTGTGGGTCAGGCGCGCACCAATCGCGGCCATGGGCGATCAGGGGCGAAGGGCAACCTCTGCTTGCAGCTCGAAGCTCGTCAGCTGGCAAGGCGTGCATGCTTGCTGGCGCATGCGCCTGAGCGTCCCAACACATGGGCGTGCGACAAAAAATCCAAAAAGTCTGTCACCGCGCCAGCTGTCGCAGCAGGCACGTCCCACCTCTCACGTCCGTCTGCAGTTGCGCCCCGAATGTGCACATACGTCCCCCCCCTTCCAACGCACGCTGGACTGCGTGTATGCACCTTCACTCCTTCCGCTCCTAGAACCCTAACCCCCTGCACACACACACACACACACACACACACACACACACACACACACACAAACACACACACACACACAAACTATACACGCCTGCCAGTGGTACATGATGGCCCGGAACCTCTTGTATCCACGCTCCCCCTTCTCCTCATTGTCGGGCAGACCAAGGATTGCCACCATCACAGCCGCCGCCTGGTGCGGGGTTCCCAGGGGTTGGGGTTGGTCAGCAAACCCAGAGACTTTGGGGGATGGGCACTGCAGAGGAGGCGCCTCAGATTAACACACAAGGCGAAGGATGGGGTGCTTTGTTGTTGGCGGAGAGTGTGTTTTTTGGAAGCATGCGCGGGCGTTCGCATCACCACAAGGCTGCACGAGCGGGCGCCAGCGCTTTGCACTTTCGCATGCAGCTCGTCTGTGAGCCCCCGGCAGCACAGTGACCGCGGGG